ATCACCAGCCTGGAATAGTCTGTTAGCAGGTTGGTTTGGGTTAGTTTGGGCCACCCAACTCCCACTCGCACCTCTAAGCAGGTGAGCACCGGTAAACCAGATGGGAAACCAGATCTCATATAGGCTGACGCGAGGGGGGATGGCCTCGGCTATGGACAAGGAAGCTGGCGGACAGCTATAAAACGCATTCTGGACCAGGCCCAAATGGATCTTGAAAAGGATAAATCGTCTACGGTGCAGGGGAGGGATACCCCAGTACCGGTCGGGTTAGATGTTGCCGTCGCAGGCCACTCTCGACGCGTCTTAGCTTTCACAGCGAACGGTCGACATTTCTGCCAGCGGGAGCGCGGAATAATTTCAGACGAAATTAAAACGGCAAACTTGGTATTTTGATGGTCAAAGTGGTTAATTTGAAAGAGATTTACTAATTAGTGGGACAATCAATTAAAGTGCGAGCTCTACAGTGGACACAAATAGTTAGGCGTTTAAATTTTAATCATACATATTTTAATTACATGAAGTAAGTGCAACTAGTGCCCAGTCTTTAGCCAGTGCAACTTCCTACATCGAACAGCTGGACATCTGGACGTAGGTCAGTGCCCGTTGAGCCTATTTTGAAAGGAAATAAAGGCAAATATCCAGCTAATTTTAGCACATAAAGTTTCGTTTTCGAGCGAATAGATTGAAAAATGCAAGCGAGGACGAGATAAGAAACAGCGCGGACGTCGGTAAATCGGGCCGAGAAAACGGTCCCGATACAGGCGCGCGGACGTATGCAAAATTCGGTAAATAAAACCGCGTCATGAACAAAGGAAAAGAGACAAACACAAAGAGGAAACAAATGGACACTAGTGCCAATTGGGAGGAGCTGGCTGAAAATAGTAGAACCCTAGAAAACATTCCAAAAAGAAGATCTCTGGCACGGTCACCACCAACAACTAGACAGAATATAGAGAAAACTCCGGACCTGAGCAGACCAAAGCGCAAGAAGGCTTTAACCCCGGAACAGGGGGAACAGGTCAAAGCTTTGCTAACAGCTGCAGGTGAGCTAATAAACAGGAATTTGGCAACAGACACCGAGGAGGACGACATATATGGCACCCCCAGCAACAAACTGATGAAATCGCACGCCTGGGCGAAACCAAAGCAACGGGAAAGCACAGTCTCAGAAGATGTGTCGGATACGGACACCGAAAAAACACAGGAGGATACCAAAAGAGAAAATATCCAGAGGGCACTAGAGGCAAGAGATGCCATTATTAAAGCAACATCTCACACATACGCAGGGGGGAAGATAATTTTCAACACCGATGAACAGAAAATAGTCAAGGAAAATGTACAGGAGCTCACTGACCTGATATTAACGTGTATGAGCAAGGAGAAAATCCTAAAAACCGAGGGAAACATTGAGAGAACCATCAAAATGCAAACAGTAGCAATAAGCGAGATGCGAAATGAGATACAGGCCCTTAATAAAATAGTTGAGGACGGCCAAAACCTCAGAGAAAGGACCACTCTAAATCGAGCCTGGCAAGGGAAAGCTACGCAACTACAACAAAGGAAAATCAAACATACAACGGCGGATTACCAGATTGCGTACATTAACGATACAGACACGGAACAAACTCAGACCGAGAAACCCACTGATACTGAAGGAGAATTCCAAGCGGTAAGACCAAGGAAGAAATTAAGAACCAAGGAGACAAGGGACAAAACAAGAACATACGCTGATGTGTCGAAACTAGGCTTACGAACCGAAAGCAATCCTCAGAAACCAAAAGAGCCCTGGAAGACACCTGAAAAAAAGGAAAGATACATTACGCTGGTGGAAATCCCGGAAGGGCAACAGGCCAAGAGCATAATACAAAAAATAAAAGAAACCGCACAGGAAGTGGTGTCAGCCACCGGGGGAGTTATTGGCATGACCGAAACTATGAGCAATAAGATTGCCATAGTTTACCGTAACAAGGAACAACAAGAAAAGGTAGAACGAAAACTCGACACTAGCGCCGAAATAAAAACTAAGAGCATATTAAGGCAAAACCCGAAAATTAAACTTACAGGCGTAGCAAAAGGATACTCGGACGAGGAACTCCTGAAAACCATGTTAGACGAGAACCCCGATATTAAATCAAAGGCTAATAGTGAAACAGCAACCAAACTTAATGCCACAACTGCAATAAATTTGGACATGCGGCCAAGAAATGTCGCGCTGCTGCTCAGTGCCACTTCTGCGGGCAGGCACACGAAAGAGGGCAATGCAAGCGGGAAAACCCAGACTGCCCCAACTGCAAGGCGGCCGGTTATGATGCACAGGACAGAAAACACTCCGCAAGAGATAGAAATTGCCCGATCTACAAAAGAAAGGAGAGGCAGCATCAACAAACAATGGTAGACTACGGGCAGGAAAGCGATACGGCTCCTAAATTACAACAATGCCAAGAAAATGACGAGCCAAGTGGACCAACCCCGGATTAAAGGAAATGATAAATCCACCCTACTTTAAAACTACCAACACTATATCATTTCTTCAGATTAACCTAAACAGATGCAGGATCGCCCACGACCTGCTGGAACGCATCACCAAGGACGACAAAATTAATGTGGTCATTGGACAAGAGCCTTATGGAAAAAGCCTAATTGACTACCACGATGACAACAGGGATAGCTTTATAAACGTGGACAACAAATATAAAGTTCTCAAGAGCGGATGTGGAGAGGGGTTTGTTCACGTGGAATTAAGCAATTGCGTTGTCATCTCGTGCTACTTCTCCCCAAACGGAAATGTGGCAGACTTCGAGAGGCTGCTCCAAAACATGAAAAAAGTAATTAGGCATGGGGGAAAACAGGTGGTAATGGGAGGAGACCTAAATGCCAAAACGAACTTAATAGGGTCGAAAACCACAAACCAGCGCGGCGCGATCCTGCAGGACTGGATCCTCACCAACGGACTGGTCATCTTAAACGAGGGGGATACGCCGACCTTCCAGAATGCTAACGGAACATCAATAATCGACTTCACGGTGGCATCAGAACAATTGAGTCGGAGAGTTGGCACATGGAGGGTTGAGCCAGAGATCGAAAATTTCAGCGATCACCATAACATTCGATTTGAAATACAAGGCACACCTGGTGAAACCACGCCCAGACTGAGCCAGACAGGATGGAGCATCAAGCCTGCTGCGATCACGGAGCTGACGGCCGCGTGGAAAACCAGCCACCAAAACGAGCGGGAGGAGACACCAGAAACAATCATCAACGATATCACTGGACTCCTCAACAAATATGRACATAGGAGGTCGGCCGGCTCGGGTCGCCCCCCAGTGTACTGGTGGAGCGCCAAGATAGCCGACCTCAGATGTGCATGCACAACCTCTAGGCGAAAGCTGACAAGAGCTCGTAAAAAACTCAAAACGGATCAGTACATTCAAGAACTCACGGAGGCGCACAAACGGAGCAAGGCGGCACTCAAAAAAGAAATCCGATCAAGTAAATTGGCGAAATGGAGAGAACTGCTTGCAGAGCTGGAAAATGACATCTGGGGAAAGGCGTACTTAATAGTAACCAAAAGGCTAAACCTCAGGCATAGAAAACACCCGGACGAGCATACTACCATACAACAAATAAAGAAGCTATTCCCAATTAAAACTCTAACACCCAGAGAAACGGGACCCGGAGAGTGGTACGAAACGCCATTATTCAACATAGATGAGCTGAAAGCTGCCCTAAAGGAAAGAAAGAAGAGAAAGGCTCCTGGCCTGGATGGTATATCGTTGGAGGTGCTGAGAGCATGCATCACAGAAACTCCGATGGTGTTCCTGAAACTGCTTAATGACTGCTTGCAGAAGGCAGAATTCCCAGCAGCCTGGAAGAGGGCTAGGTTAGTACTTACCGAAAAGCCAAAGAAGGATCCGCAGGGACAAACGTCATACAGACCGCTGTGCCTCATCGACGAGCTGGGAAAGATATTCGAGGCTCTAATCAAGAACAGGTTGGAAGACGAAATGAGAAAAAAGGGCCTGGAGCACGTCCACCAGTACGGCTTCACAAAAGGGAAGTCCACCACCAGTGCTCTCCTTAAAATCAAGGAGATAGCGGACAACACAAAAAAGAAGGCATACCAACACAGGGAAATCTGCATTATGATACTAATGGATGTGCAAAACGCCTTCAACTCGGCCCCCTGGGATGGTATAATACAGTCTCTATCTGACGGCGGTATATCAAGATACATCGTCGAGATCGTCAAATCTTATCTATGGGATAGAAGCATCGTTACCGCTGAAGGGGAGATATACCCAGTAACCTGCGGCGTACCGCAGGGCTCCATTCTGGGACCAAAGCTGTGGAATATCTTCTATAACAAAATCCTGAATGTGGACATTGGAAAGGGGGTCGAGACGGTGGCCTACGCAGATGACCTTGCCTTAGTCGTTACCGGCAAAACACCGGACATGGTAAAAACACGAGCGACACAAGCAATACAGCGAGTAAGCGAAACCCTGCGCGGCATGGGAATTAAAGTGGCTCCGGAGAAAACCGAGTCGGTCCTGCTGACCGCCCCAAGAAAGATCCCTGGTATTGTGCTGGACACAGGAGAGAGATCCATAGCCACCTCCGACTCCGTGAGATACCTGGGAGTCATGTTAGACCGCAATGTGAAAATGAAGGCACACATAAGGAGGACTGTGGAAAAGGCAAACAAAATGATAACTCTCCTGTACAGGCTCATGCCCAGGGTGGGCGGACCCAAGGCCAGCAAAAGAAGAGCACTGGCGGGCACTGTAATATCTGCGGCTTTGTACGGGGCCCCTATGTGGCATCAGACCCTGAAATACCAGCACTATTCAAACCTGATGACTGGGATCAATAGAAAACTAGCTACAATGATTACTTCTGCTTATAAAACAGTGCCGACTATCGCTATAGAGGCAATAGCAGGAACTATACCCCTAGACCTGCTGGTACGAGAAAGGGTCGAGATGCAGACGCTTGGAAGCGAGCACAAGGCAAATGCTAGGGAAGCGACAATGAGGGCCTGGCAGGACCGATTCGGAGCGGAAATTCGGCGAGGTCGACTACTACACCACCCAAGCCATGACGGGCCACGGGGTATTCGGGAGCTTTCTCAAAAGAATAAAAAAACAGGAAAATGACGAATGCTGGTTCTACGGCGCGCAAGACACGCCGGAACATACAATTTTCCAGTGCAAAAGATTTAAAACGGCCAGGCTACAAGCCGAACAAACCTGCCAGAGACAGGTCACCAAGGACAATATAGGAGACATCTTCATTGAAAACGAGACATGCTGGGAGGCCGTCAGGAAAATGCTCCAAAGCATAATGAAGATCAAGGCGGAGGAGGAGAGAAAGAGGGAGATTCGAAACTCCTAAAGAAAAACACCAGGAGTAATACCGCATAAAACAAACATGGAATCTACCCTATATAACCTTGACGTAATGCTTCACGGCGGTTCCCAAGGTTCAAAACAAAAGGGGGAATTTTTTAGTCGGTAGGCTCGTCTGAATCCGACACTGCCCGGCCGATAGAATAACAGGCCGGGGCGTCTTTCGAAGATTTTTTACCCCTAAAAAAAAAAAGGCCACTCTCGACCGTCATCCAGCGACTGCGGCAAACCCGCCTCTTCGGTGGTCCCCAGGGCCGTAGAGAACCGGAATAATATTACCGAGAGGAAGCTTCTGAGCGAGAAAGCCTTCTTTAGGCGAATCACGAGCCCGAGGAGATGCAACTCGGTGGGGGACGGTCCGATGTTCCCACCGCTTACTCTCCAGGGAGGGAGTAATTCGGGGATGATAGACCTTGTCTGGGACGACTCGGAGGAGAGGTCTTTCCAGCTCCTCACTGACGCCGAGCGGACGAAGGTGTTCGGGACAGTAGATAGAGATACTAAGAAGAAGCCATCCGAAGGTCGCAAAAGATCCACATCACTGACAGAAACCAGTGCAGGGTATATATGCAATCTCTTCACGAAAGTAATGGAGAAGCGGAAACGTGGCCACCTGTCACAAGTGGAAACCATACCAAGTCCAAAAAGAGGGGAGACAGAAGCAAATTGAGAGCAAGCGCCGGAGAGCTGAAGGAGACAATTAAAGCCTTTAGGTTGGTAAGGCCAACCAGAATGTTCATAGGACGGTGAAATCCTTAGCGGCAAACCTAAGTGTGATTATACAGAGAGTAGAGTGCGACATAGACGGTAAACCCTTGCTTGTGGTTAGCGGCATCCAGGGAGACCTTGAAAAGACGCGCATGCATTACTCGAAAGTAATGGAGGAAAACATGGCACTGAAACAAGAGATCATAAAACTGAAGGAAGAAAACAAGGCTGCCGGCGAGAGGCTCGCTGGCGGAATGTATAGGATGGACAGCAGAAGCAAACAGCTGGAGACCCTGAAAGGTCTAGAACTCCAACGCTTTGAAAGTGTCATGGAAACCTGCAAAAGAAGGTGGCCGGAGGCCGCCTACAAGGTCAATGGACTGGAAGAGCGTTCCTGCATCGGCGGAAGACCGGATCTTTCTATTTAGGGTTCTTTCTATTATCAGTCTTTCTATTTAGGGAATTAAAAACGGAAGCCACAAGTGGTAGGAACATCCTAAACAAAGAAATTATGGATAGATACCCTGAGCTAGAAGAGGAGCAAGCAATAGATTGCGATGGTGGAGAGTACCTAACGCTAGTAGATTTTAAACTTAATATAGGTGGCGGAATAGGCAAAGCTGAGAAAATAACAAGAAAAAAGACGGTAACGGCTCTGTGCACCGACGAAAATAGGTCGGAATCAGAGGTTTATGCCCTACTTAAACAGACAAAGAAGCGGGAGCAGGAACTCAAAACTACAGAGATATATATCGTAGCCCCAGTAGGGATGTCTCCACACGGGTTTTGAAAACTTATAGAGTGCGCCTTCTACGAATCTTCACTGACGGTTACGAGCGGGCCAACCCCGGACAGGCAGAGAGACGATTATTGTAGAAGCTACCGAAGAGAGCACCTATAGAGGCATGCTTATGAAGCTGAAGGTACGAAAAAGAGAGGACTGGATGTCCTCAGTAGGTCAAGTGCGGAAGACAGCAAACGGGAACCTGCTGCTGAAATTAAAAGGAAACGAAAACCTTGAAAACGCAAGAAAATCAGTACAAAATGTCCTTGGTCCTAAGATGGGGATAAAAGGAGGAAACCGTATGAAGACCTTCTTTATCAGAGACTTAGATATGGTTACCACTCTGGAAGAGGTTAAGAAACAACTGTCGTCGGAGAAGTTCGTCTCAAAATGGGACACGGCCAGGGTGGCTCTAAACGAGAACCATACGGGGGACAGACGGCAGTAATAAGGGTAGAAATAGATGACTCAGAGACACTGAACAGCCGCAGGTACATTCGAATAGGCATAAACGACTGCAGGGCGTAGGAAAGGATCACGGTAGAAAGATGCTACAGATGCTGGGGGTACGGCTATAATTCCAGGACATGTAACAACGAGGCGTTAAATATGGAAGACTGTTGCTTCAAGTGCGGAAAGGCTGGTCATAGGAAGGCTGAAAGGAAGAAAGGGAATTTTGTCCACCTTGCAACAAGGCGGGACACCAAGCTGGAACTTCAAGATGCCCGAGCTTTAAAAGGGCTCTCAGGCAGCAGCGAGTCGGTGGGAAGGATTCTGTTAGAATAAGGCTATAATCAAAATGCTTTTAATATTATCAATTATATTCAATTCAGGCATATATATTATGGACCACAGCGTACCACAAAGCCATATTGCTTAGGCAGCATAATTTTTTGTTTATCGCGAGAGCAACCTTTTTAGTCAGTCGTCGTCAAATCGCTGCTGATACAGAATCGTTCTCGTGTTCGGAAATCTACTTTTGTACTGTGTTGATCTTTTTCATTTATCAATATACTTTTATTCATACATTAAGAGTGTGTCCACTTTATTTCATCAACAGATTCCTTGTCCACCGACTAGCAAAGGCTGGGAGGAATAGATAGCTGTCAGCGATAGTGAGTGTGAGTAAACCAAGGAGGACAAAAATCTATTCAAGCTTTAGGAGCAAAAACTTTGTGTTTGTTGAATGCGAATCCGTCGGTTTCTACTCTGTGTATATCTGGGCTTTCCATATGATCAACGAGTATGAGGAGATCTTAAATGCTCTCTTAATGCATGTCCGGAGAACGCTGCAGGGATGCAAGCTCCCGGTAGTGGTGTGCGGTGACTTTAACGCCAAGCATGTGGCATGGGGTGGACAGCGCACGGACCGCAGGGGAGAGCTCCTGTTTGACGCGGTTATGTCTCGTCCTGGTGCTCCTGAATGATGGCCAAGAACCGACCCTGGTGCGTTATAACGGCGAGTCTTTTATCGACGTCACTTTTGTTTCCGGAGACATCGCGAGGAGAGGATGTGTATGGCGGGTTCTTCATGAGGAGGAGAACCTCAGCGACCACAACGGTATGTCGATACGGATCAAGGGAAAGAAACGCAACGAGCAACATAGATACATTCAAAAGCCGGATCATGGCTGGTTTATGAGCGACCTCAGGCAGGACATGGCGAACGCCGACCCTGCCCAGCCAGACAAAATAACAGAAAATATAATAAGAAGTGAACGTGCATCGCGTCGCACTATACGAAGAAACGCCGACTACAGGCTGCCACACAGGCTGCATGTACGACACTGAAATCCAAACGAAACTCTAGATTCTGAAACGGATGCAAAGGAAACTAAAAAGGCAAACAAGAAACGAAGCACGAAGGAAAACTCCCCTCCAAGAGTACAAGCACACAAGAAGAGAGGTCGCTGGAAGCATTAAGAGAGCAAAAAGAAGGAAATGGAGGGAACTCATAAATGCACTCGAGGCGAGGCTTGCAAGATCACAAAGACGCAGCTAGGATTCATTGGCCCCAGAATATGGCTAAAAACGGAGGAGAAGTTTAGGATATTCTGCGAACTCTTCCGGAAATAAGGCCGGTCTCGACAACAGAGGAAGTAACGGAGGAAGATCTAAGAAACTCGGTGGCCAAAATAAAAACTAAAAAAGCACCGGGCCCGGATGGCATGATGCCTGAAGACGTCAAAGCGATGATAACTAATTATGGTCCGTTCTTCTGTAGGTTTTTTTTTTCCGGTGAGGTTTGGGAAATGCTCTTTTACGCACTCCCAGAGCTGGTGGTCTGTCGCTCTGGTGTGTGTGGGACTCCAGCTAAGCT